GAAGGTGCGCAAGTGGCTTTTCTTGATCAAGCAAGCGCTCGACTGCGGGACACTATGTGCCGGCCAAGCCAGCAAGCTGGCCGGCGCTCTCAGCTGGGCAGGTCAACATTGCTTCGAGCGGCTAGGGCGTGCGATGTTGCAGCCCCTGTTCGCGCAGCAGAATGCGCGACGGGGTGTCGTTCGCGCCCCGCTCAACTTGGCGCTGTCATGGTGGGCGGAGGTGCTGGCCCTCGGCATCCATCAGTCCAAGCCGTGGGCGCAGCTGGAACGGCAAGAAGTGCACTTGTTCGCTGACGCAAGGGGCGGGTCCGATCCACGGCTCGCCGCCGTGCTGTTCGTCGATGGTCGCGCCTTCTGGTCCGACGCCCCTCCAGACCAGGAGCTGCTGGAGGACTTGGCGCCGCGCCGGGACTCTCAGATTATGGCGTTAGAACTGCTCGCTATAGCGCTGGGATTAGCTACCTTTAGTGAACTGCTGGCGGACCGCCGAGTGGTGATTTGGTCCGACAATGTGGGCGCAGAAGGGGCAGTGCGGAGCGGTCGCGCTTCCGCTTGGGACCACTCCCGCATCATTCACGCCATGTGGTTCCTCATCGCACGCACCCGGTGTTCGCCGTGGTTTGCGCGGGTCCCATCAGCAGAGAACATCGCCGACCTTCCGTCGCGGGAGGAGTACGAGTTGCTACGTGTTCTTGGGGCGAACTTCGTGACGCCGCGCTTACGCGCGGCTGAGTTCTTCGCACCGGAGACGTTTCTGGCCCGCGCTCTGCCGGCGGGAGCGCGCCGTCGCGCGTCGTCGCGCCCCGCGAGCGCCGTTGCGCATCGAAGGCGGCACGAAGCAACGAAGGCGAGTGAGCCGCTGTCCCGCGTCGAGCCCGTTGCGAGCCATGCCTCGCGCGTGCCTTGCGAGGGCGGCCCGCGCGAGTTGATGCCAAAAGCCGACAGTGGAAGCTGCGTCGTTAACCGGCCCCATCGATGGGCCCCTGGTCGGTTGTCCTATGCGTCAGCGCGCGGTCCCAGCGCAGCCAGCGACGGGCGCTCAGTCGAGCGATAAGCCATGACGTTGTTTCATGAGGTCCGCGGCGTCCTGCCAGAGCTTTCACCCATGGTTACCTTTGCGTTGATCGAGTTGCTGCGGCGCCAGGACATAACGCATCTCAGAGATCTGCAGCTAGCGCGCGTCGATTGGTTCGAACCGGTGTCTGCCGCAGAAGGGGAACGAGGCGTCAGCCCTGACGCCCTGCGCGTAGCGCTGTCAGAGTTAATTAACGAAGCGAAGAAGCCATCTGCCGTCGTGCGCGGCGCAAAGGACGAACCTCCGCCTGCACCCGACGTGCATCAGCGCGAGTGCCGCAGCCGCAGTCGCCCTGCCAGGCGGCGAGCTGCCAAGTGCGATGAGCTTTCGGCGGCTTGCGGTGCTGTGCGGGACCTTGAGCTGGCCGTCAGCATAGCGCGCCAGTGCACCATCGAGCCGCGCGCGGGCCCCCGCCGTGAAGTCGAGGCCCTGCGGCAGGGCCTCGCCCAGCGAAGCTTCAGCGAATGGTCGAATTCGGCTCGGGTCGCCGCGATTCTGGGCAGCTGCCCGAAAACGTGGCCCAGCGTAGTCAGCGCCTTCCGCTGCTGGGCGACTTTCGCCATGACCGTGCTCGGCTGCGACGCGGGGGAAGTGATTCCGCCGTCGCCCGAGGGCCTTGCATTGTGGAGCACATGCTTCCGTTGTAAAGGAACATTCGACAACTATATTTCGCACGTCAGATTAGTCTGCATCCTGTTGCGCGTCCCGCTGGACGCGCTGAGCGACCCGGCAGTCGAGCGCGCGGCTCGCGCGGTGCAAGCGCGAAACACTTGGCAGGCCAGGCCCAAGATGTTTATTCGGGAGGCGCTCCTCGCCAGATTACTGAAGCATCTCGAACGCCACCAATCGGGGCGCGAGCTGCAGATGCTTTTCTTGACGGCGTACATATTCCTGTTGCGATTGCCGTCGGAAGCACTGCCGATGCACGTCGCTCGGGACGGCGATCCGCCGCGGGCGGTCGAGCCGAAGAGCTGCCTACGCCTGCATGACGGCTCGATCTCGCTGACGTTGCTTTGGCGCAAGAATCGCGCCACGCCGCTCACGATGACGCGCACGTGCTGGTGCGCGCGCTGTCCATCAACGTGCCCCGTGCACGCGCTGGGGAAATTCTGCGCCGACAGCGCGGCCCAGCAGCCTTTTGCGGGTTTCCGCCCGGACGCTGTCCTATCGGCGTTGAGAGCGGCCCTGCAAGAGCTCGGGGTGCCGCGGCACGATGCCTATCGCACCCACGATTTTCGTCGGGGCCACGCCCAAGACATGGCGGTGCGTGGCTCGCGGCTGGCCGACATCCTTCGCGCCGGAGATTGGCGGTCCGCCGCCTTCCTGTCATATTTAGACAGGGATGCGCTTGAGGACAGCGCCGTCAGGGAAGCGCACGGCGGCGCTTCGTCCAGCGACGAAGACAAGGACTGAGGTGGCTGTGAGCCTATAGAACACCTTCGGCGAGAACAGCGTTGGGTTTTCCTCGCGCGCAGGTGCAGCAAGGGCCTTGGGTGTCGCTGCACCCGCGCGCTCCCGCGGGGAGCGGCGAGCGACGAGTGCGCCGCTCGCCCCCCCCCGCGGGCGCGTGCCTACCCAACGCGCAGCGCTCCCCGCGCTCTCCCCCAACCCTCGGGTTTTCCAGGGTAGCGTCTTTTGTGGGCGAGAACACAACGCAGTTTTGTTCGTTGTCACAAAAACGCGGACCTGGGAACCTTCTACCCCTGCCGCCCCGCCGCTGGCGCCGCGGTTCGCCGCGGTGCCTGTGGTGGGGCGGGTTGGGTCGGTTGGGGGGTGCGTTTGGGGTGGCTCGCCTCAGGTCTTCATGGACTTCGTGTTCCTCGTCTTGTTCGTGTTCTTTGTCCACGTCTCCCTGCGGTGGGGGGAGGGTAAATATACCCCCGCGTCGCGCGCGCTGCCCCGAGGGCGCTTGTCGGCCGAACGCCAGGCTGGCGCCCTCGGTGCGCGCGTCGCGGGCCGCCGTGGCGGCTTTTGTTTCCCCTCACCCTTCGCCGCTCCTTTGGTTGGGGTGGGGCGCGGGGTGTCGCTGCACCCGCGCGCTCCCGCGGGGAGCGGCGAGCGACGAGTGCGCCGCTCGCCCCCCCCCGCGGGCGCGTGTCTACCCAACGCGCAGCGCTCCCCGCGCTCTCCCCCAACCCTCGGGTTTTCCAGGGTAGCGTCTTTTGTGAAGGAGCTGGGAGGCCCAACCAGCAGCTTCGCCTTAGGCGAAGCCCCGCTCTCGCTGTGTTGTACCGTAGTAGCGATAGTCCCAGTAGTTGGGGGCGAGCCATCTCAAGCAGTTTTGGTATCGATGGCAAATGGTACACCTCGCGCTGAGGTGTAGTCAGATCTGCGCGGCCGGCCGCTTTGAGCCAAGCAGCCGCGGTCCCACTCACATGCAACACCCAACCCACTTTAGAGCCACGAGGCCTCCAAGAAGACCTCCAGGAAGGCCAGAAAAGGCCAAAAATATTGATTTTCCTTCGGATGTTTGAAGGATTTGACATTTGTTTCTTTTAGGCCTTCCGACGGCCGAGACGGTCCAAGAGCGCCCAAAGATCGCCCAAAGATCGCCCAAGAGGCCTCCAAGATGGCCCCAAAACGGTTCAAGAGGCCCACAAGACGGCCCCAAGAGGCCCCCAAGACGCCCAAGATGGCCTCCAAGACGGCCCTGGAGCATTCCAAGAGGGCCCCAAGTCGGCCCAGAGGGGCCCCCAAACGGCTTCCGACGGCGTCGGACGGGCCAGGAGCCCACCAAAACGGCCGAAGATGGCCCTAAGATGGCCCAAGACGGCCCAAGAGGCTCCCAAGAGGGCCTCCAGGAAGGGCCGAAAAGAGCAAAATCATTGATGTCCCTTGGGTGTTTGAAGGAGTGTGGCATTTGCTTTTTTCCTGCCTTCCGACGGCCCAAGACGGCCCAAGTGCCCCCAAAGATCGCCCAAGAGGCCCCCAAGACGGCCTAAGAGGCCCCCAAGACGGCCCATGAGGCCTCCACGCTCAAGATGGCCTCCAAGACGGCCCAAAAGCCCTCCAAAACGTCCTCCAAGAAGGCCCGAAAGGGTCAAAATGGCCTCCACACGACCAAGGTGACCTTCACGATGCCCACGTGTTCCCCAAAGGTTTTCCAAACCGATTCGGGAAACACATGGTCCGAAAGCTTGGCAGGTCTGGCCTCAACGTTCGGCCACATAGGCGCTTCCAAAAAGGCAGGGGGCGGCGGTGATTCGCCGTAGGCGTCTTCGATAGATGGCCACACACCCATGAGCATGCACGTTGAACCACATCACATAAAGTGCGCTACATGGCTTGTAATACATATATATATATATGTATAAATATGTATATATACATGCATACATACATACATACATACATACACACACATACATACATACATACATACATACATACATACATACATACATACATGCCTGCCTGCCTGCCTGCCTGCCTGCCTGCCTACCTACATACACATACACACACACACATACATGCATACATACATACATGCATGCATGCATGCATACATACACACATACATGCATACATGCACACACACATACATATATATATATATATATACATACATACACACACGTGTATGCATACATACATATATGCATGCATGCATGCATACATACATACATGGATACATACATACATACATGCATGCATGCATGCATGCATACATGCATACATACATACATACATACATACATACATATACGATGCACCACACGGAGTGCACCACATACATTGCAGCGCATACGCTGCATCATAGACCTTTTTGCACCATGCGGGTTGCCACTGGTTGCACCGTGCACGCAGACCTGCGCCATCAAGACTGACCACCGAGAGCGGTCCAAAAACTGCTTAGGGCCCACGCTGGCAGACGTCATCACACCGTCCTGTGCCCCTCGGCACAAGGGCACAAAGGGCGAGGCACCGAAAGCTTGGCTGCCGAACACGGAGATCGTGCCCGACATGACAAACACCTGCTGGGCCCGCGCCCGGGCCGCCCGCGGCGCCCGTGCCGGCCCACAAGGGGAAGAAGGGTTCGTCGAAGCTCGCACGGCGGCGGATCGGTCCTCTGCACGGAGCGGCCCTCTGAGGCACGGAAAGATGGCGGGTCCTGGGGGAGATCGGGGCCCCCCAAGCCGTGTGGTGATGGACCGCGTGGTGACCTCTGAATCCTCAACGACCTCACCGCGCGGTCCGCCACCGCAAGGTCTTAGGACCTCGGAAGCCAGTCGCCCGAGACGTCTTCGGAAAACGACCCCAAGTCCCGAAACCGTACGGTGGCCACGAATCCCCACCCACTCACCACGCGGTGTGGTCCCACACCGTTTGGGGGCCCCCGAGAGAAGAGGGGCCCCAGAACTTCTTGGCCGCTTGCGGGCCCCCCAGGGCAATTCCGCGGGCACGGGGACCGTCAAGAGACGGCTCGGGATAACGAACTGGTTGCCACGAGGTGTGAGGGCGCCCCGTGATAGTTCAGCCCCGCTGACGAAGCAACGCGGTGAAGAACTGGTCGGGAAAGGCCCCGGCCAGTGTTTAGGATCCGCTTCTGTCAAGGACTCCCTTTGCTGCAATGGCGAGCAGTGGTCCAGGCGCCAGAACGGTCTCTGCCAGAGTGGGGTTCTGCCAGAGCGAGCTGCTGCTTCCCTCATCCCTCCTCACATCAGCTGCCTCCTGCATCCCCCCTTCCTTCTGTACGCTCCCTCCTCCGTCTCCCCCATCCCCTGCGTCCTCCCTCCCCCTTTCCTTCATTAACGGCACGCCTGGGGGGGAGTGAGAGAAGGAGCAGGCCTTCTCAAAATTTCTGAGAAATGTTCTGCGTCTTCGGGAGAGGCTTCGGGAACTTCTCAGAAGGCCGGAGGCCTTCCGAGCCTTCTGAGAAGGCCCGCCCTTCTCACTTCCACCCTGGGCTCGCCACCGACTTTATCCAAGGTCACCCAGCTTCGCGCATCGCGCCCTGCGATGCGCGGCGCGCGGTCATCTTCGCGACCCCGCGCACCTGCGCCTCCGCGCCGCCCCCATTGGAAAACGGCAGCCGCGTTGGCCCAGACCGCGATGCGCGAAACGTTAGTATCTTGAGGGAGCCCAGGGACACACAAATAACTTTACGCACGCTAATCCCATGATTCCCCGTATTGTCAGTATTATCCATATTTCCTGGATGTTTGTCTTCCCCTTCACTTCCCATACTTTCCATATTATCCTGGGAATCGACGATGATGTGTATGTCTGTGTTCGTGTGTTTTTCCCTCCTGAAGCATTGTTATCTTCGCGCCCTCGAGAGTGACCTAGTGTACCCTTCCATCCTCCCTGATTCCCCCCTCCTCCCCAAAGGAGATTGGGGAAAGATATGAAGAGGGGTTGCGCTTAGTCCATTTAAGCACGGGGATTCGCCCAGGGCCCCTTGTCAGAGTGTTCGTTCGGGCCGCGTTGGCCTTTGTGCCACCAGGCGGGAGCGGCCAGCTGTTCTGTCATCTCCAGACTTGTGGCTCTTTATAAGAGTCCCAGACGGCGCTGTATCCTCCTCCCGCCCCCTCTGCTCTAGTTCCTTATCCCGTTCCCTTCCTCAACCCCCTCCCTGATTCACTCCATTTCCCCCTCTCTGCCACCTCCATTCCTCAACATGTGACACTACCCAGCCTCATCCTCATCCTCCTCCTCCTCCTCCTCCTCGTCCTCCTCCTCCTCATGATCAGCAGCATCAGCAGCATCAGCATCACCTTCTTCTTACTCTTCATGTTCGTCATCCTCCTCCTCATCATCATCATCATCATCATCATCAGCATCAGCATCATCATCATCATCACCATCATCATCATCATCATCATCATCATCATCATCATCATCATCAGCATCATCATCATCATCATCATCATCATCATCACCATCGGCATCATCGTCATCGTTCCCATCATTACCATCATCATCATCATCATCAGCAGCAGCATCATCATCATCATCATCATCATCATCAGCATAATCGTCATCGTCGACATCATCGGCAGCAGCAGCATCATCATCATCATCGGCATCATCATCGTCATCGTCATCGTCATCGTCATCATCAGCATCATCATCATCAGCATCATCATCGGCATCATCATCATCATCATCATCATCATCATCATCATCATCATCATCATCGGCATCATCATCTTCATCATCATCACCATCATCACCATCATCATCGTCGTCATCGTCGTCGTCATCATCATCCTCATCGTCATCGTCACCGTCACAATTACCACCAAAACCACCGTCAGCATCAGCCTCATCAGTATCATCATCAGCCTCGTCATCGTCATCGTCATCGTCATCATCATCATCAGCATCATCAGCATCAGCATCATCAGCATCAGCATCAGCATCAGCATCAGCAACATCATCATCAGTATCATCATCATCATCATCATCATCATCATCAGCATCATCATCATCATCATCATCATCATCATCATCAGCATCATGAGCATCATCATCATCATCATACCCACCACCTTCATCATCAGCAGCAGCATCATCGTCATCGTCATCGTTGTCATCGTCATCATCAGCATCAGCATCAGAATCATCATAATCATCATGAGCATGATTATCATCATAATCATAATCTTAATCATCATCATCATCATCATCAGCATCATCATCATCAGCATCATCACCATCATCATGACCATCATCACCATCATCATCATCATCATCATCATCATCATCATCATCATCATCATCATGAGCATCATCATCATACCCACCATCTTCATCATCAGCAGCATCATCGTCATCGTCATCGTCATCGTCGTCATCATCAGCATCAGCATCAGAATCATCATCATTATCAGCATCACCACCAGCATGATCATCGTGATCAGCATCACCATCATGAGAATCATGATCATCATCAGCATCATCATCATCACCATCAACAGCATCATCATCAGAAGCATCATCATCAGCAGCAGCATCAGCATTAGCATCAGCATCATCAGCATCCTCGCCACCACCATCACAATCATCATCGCCTCCAAGATCAACATCATCATCATCATCATCATCAGCATCATCATCAGCATCAGCATCAGCATCATCATCATCATCATCATCATCATCATTATCATCATCATCATCATCATCATCATCATCATCATCATCATCATCATCATCATGAGCATCATCATCATCATCATCATCATCAGCATCATCATCATCATACCCACCATCTTCATCATCAGCAGCGGCATCATCGTCATCGTCATCGTTATCATCGTCATTATCAGCATCAGCATCAGAATCATCATAATCATCATGAGCATGATTATCATCATAATCATAATCATAATCATCATCATCAGCATCATCATCAGCATCATCACCATCATCATCATCATCATCATCATGAGCATCATCATCATACCCACCATCTTCATCATCAGCAGCATCATCGTCATCGTCATCGTCATCGTCGTCATCATCAGCATCAGCATCAGAATCCTCATCATTATCAGCATCACCACCAGCATGATCATCGTGATCAGCATCACCATCATGAGAATCATGATCATCAGCATCATCATCATCATCACCATCAACAGCATCATGATCAGAAGCATCATCATCAGCAGCATCATCAGCATTAGCATCAGCATCATCAGCATCCTCGCCACCACCATCACAATCATCATCGCCTCCAAGATCAACATCATCATCATCATCAGCATCATCATCATCATGATCATCAGCAGCGTCAGCATCAGCATCATCATCAGCAGCAGCATCATCACCAGTATCATAATCATCATCAGCATCAGCATCATCAGCATCAGCATCATCAGCATCAGCATCATCAGCATCAGCATCATCATCGTCATCATCAGCATCATCATCATCAGCATCATCGTCGTCATCAGCAGCATCAGCATCATCTTGATCATCATGCTCATCATGATGATCATCATCAGCATCAGCAGCATCAGCATCATCAGCTTATCATCATCGTCGTCAATTGTCATGATCAGCATTATCATCAGAATCAGCATAATCATCATCAGCATGATTATCATCATCAGAATCATAATCATCCTCATCATCCTCATCATCCTCATCATCCTCATCATCCTCATCATCATCATCATCATCATCATCATCATCATCATCATCATCATCATCATCATCATCATCATCCGCGGCGGGGGCACTTGGGAAGCAGCAGCATCGACGGTAGCGGCATCCTGAACTCCTCATCCTCCCCCTCGTCAGAGGAGCTCCCGCCAGGTAACGCGGTCCTGCCATCTTGGTCCCTCCTCCCCCGCCTTACCTGGCCGCCTTCCGCTGCCGTTTTGGCCCTGTCCGATCGGCCTACAGGGCCCTGAACCATTTCACGGTCCCGCTACTCCACGAGAGGCTGCGACAGCAGAACTGGCGCGAACCCGCTCCCGCTGGCGCTGCAAGCTAGACTCAAAAGCAGCCGCATCGAAAGCATCGATTGCATCATATGTTCCTTTCCGCTGGCGCGGTTCTGCCACATCCTCCTTTTCCTTCTCCTCTTCCTCCTCCTCCTCCTCCTCCTCCTCCTCCTCGAGTGGGAGCGATAAAAGGGGACTGGCCCAGGGGGGGAACATCGACCCTGAATCGGCGATACATCGCCGATATATCGGGTATGCGATTCCGCACGTTCCTCGGCCAGGTGGGCTATCTGGCCCCTGTCGGCGATCAAAGGACGATCGGGCGTCGAGACATCCCCCCTGAGCCTTTCCCCACTTCACGTTGCCCCCTTGCTTTCAGTCATAACTCGGCTTCCCAGTGGCCGTTCAGGACGATCTGGGCACTCCTGGAAAGCCCTCGACAAGGCGCAGCTGCTGGAGAGCATCCCGAGGCTGGAAAACCAACGAGAACCGAAGAACCCGAAACCTCCGTCGCCCATGAAGTCTCTTCCTCCTCATCCGTCCCTTCCACAAGGGCGCGCCCCGGTGGAAGACGTCCAGAGGTCGCTCAACGCCGCGTCGGTGAGGTAGCGCGTGCCCGCGTGGCCCAGCAGCGCGGTGTCCGTCACTTTCCTCCGCCGGCGCCAGGAGTGGAGGAACTTTGTCTTTGGGGGGGGGGTCAGCGGCCAGCTGGATCCAGCAGATCGGCTATCGGCGGCGCGCAACGGGAGCGAACTAGGCACACGAGGCACACAGGATAGAGAAAGGCAAGATGGGAGGACACGGGACGGCCGGAGCGCCCGCAGAACGCGAAGAGCTTCGGAAGGTGCCGAGGCCAGGCTCGAGTCCTCAGCGCTACCAGTGCGGGCGCAGGAGCACCGCCGAGGAGCAGGGGAGCAGCAAGCTGCACGAGCACTGCCCTTCGGAGCTCCGCGCGGATCTCCTGCATCGGCGCTGGTCCCCCCTGGCGGCGCCTCGAGGGGCCGCCCCTGGCGTCTGTGCGGGCCTCCGGAGGTTCATACTCATGCCCCTGTGTCGCTTCTCTGCGGAAGCGGCGGAACGGGCAGCATCGGGTCGCGAGATCGGATCGGATCGGGCTGTGCATCGGATCGGGCCGCATCGGCACGAGCCGAAATCGAAGGAGGAACAACAGCAGCATGGAAGAAGTAGGAGGAGGAGGAGGAGCAGGAGGAGGAGGACCAGTGTAAACCCAAGAGTCATCAACGATGTTGGAATAAACAACCCTCCCTCCCTCTAAGCTCCGTCTCCATTGGCCTCTACAATGATTCATTTGAACTGCCTTTTGGGAAGACAACCGCTTGAAGATCCTGGAGCATACCAAAACATTGTACTCGGTATTCCAACGCCACGGATCAACCTGACTGTTGCGTCTTGACATTCCTGATTCGTGCCAGAACGCAATTCCTGGGACATCCACCCAGCCAACCATCATAACTGTTGCAGCCGCATAATCCTGAATCCTTTCATAACACAATGTCTGGCACGTATACGGGCATCCGTGAAACTTTTGCAAATTGTCAAAACGAATGTGCGCCGCGCTAAGGCGAGAGCAACATTTTGACGACGACTACGACTACGACTACGACTACGACGACTACTACTACTACTACTACTACTACTACGACTACTACTACGACTACTACTACTACTACTACTACTACTACTACTACTACTACTACTACTACTACTACTACTACTACTAACTACTAACTACTACTACTACTACTACTACTACTACTACTACTACTACTACTACTACTACTACTACTACTACTACTACTACTACTTCTACTACTACTACTACTACTACTACTACCACTACTACTACTACTACTACTACTACTACTACTATATTACTGCTGCTGCTAC